CATTTTTCATCCATTTTGGAGTTTGTGATGGCAACACTGACTCTTTCATTCCTTGATTACCAGTTGGCTTCCCATTATCACCAGACAATTTTTTCTCAGAATTGTTTTTTATCGGCTGTTTCCCTCCACTCATTGAGCCCCTCTGAAGCGTCAAAAGCTCTCTTATCACTGTTGGCTGATAAACACGGTCAAGAATTCTTTGAAGATTCTGAGCACACAATTCCCTTTCACATGAAGTGATAAATAATTTGTGATTGTTTCTCGTCATGTGTGGGGGTTCTGCAGTTAACATATAAAGATCACTTGGCTGTAATTGATCACAAGAACCATGGTGAGTCAAAGGTTTAGTCACCAAGTCATCCTTCGAAACATCAGGTACATTTTTGCAAGCCTCGTCACCATTATCACCAAAATTCTCAGAAACATTTGTGACGCTGTGACCATGCTTCAAGCTTGTCAAATCTGATTTGCTTGATTTGACATTTGAATAACATGAAAAGGGAGCATAACAAATCTGCAGAAGCCCTGATAATATATCGCCAAGATGTCTAGACAAAACCAGAGCACTCAACGTGCGCTGTGCTATACAGTCAACAAGTGTGTTTACGCATTCAAACAAACGTCTTTCACTCTTGGTACTACAGTGAATGTTAAGTGCAGCAGCAGATCCTGATCTCATTTCTACTGGTAAACCAACACCCGAAACTAGATTAGGACAAATTCCTAGAATAACAACAAATTGAATGGCTGTCAGCACTGTCTTTTGGTCATGTACACCGAGTGAATCCGCAGGCAACGGTGGGGTTTCATTCCCTCGTTTTTCAACCTTCTGTTTTGCCTTCTGGTCGCTATTTTTCTCACTAGCCAGTAGACTGACCAAAGATTCTTTAAGCAGTTTTAGAAGTTCTAAACACATCTCTACGAATCTCCACCTTATTTCATCTTTGCCATTTGTTAAGTCTACTTTTACCGTTTTCAAGTCGTTAGCTTCGTTTTTACAATCCAGGTTTCCCTTCTTGCAAATCTCCTTATTTTCACAGAATGCCTGAGATAATTCTTCACCTCTATTGCGGTTTTCAAAGTGTTTCTCCAACCGCGGAAAACGACCCTTTTTGCCGAGGGCGTCTTTTAATCGCTCCATATTTGATAAAAGAACTTCGTCAAACTCTTTCCTTTTTTCTGCCGGCGTTGCCTGTGA